GGGCCAACCCAGCCTGAGCCACCCGAAGCGCCCCTCCTTTATTTTATTTTCAACATCAACAGATTCAGGTCACTCTGGCGACGTGATGAATCAAGACAGAAACAAGGCCACTCGTGAGTAAGCCTCCGAACTGAGACAAGAAAAAAGAAAGAATATTGTCCAAACAGCAAAACTGACCAAGCACCCCTATCCCTAGCTAATAGTATGAGTAACTGCACCACTGCTTTTCCCAGTGGCAGTTTTGGCCTCAACTCTATTCTTCCTTTCTTCCTGAGTAGATGTATTCATGCCCAATCTGAGTCTTACCCCACTGCCTGGGGTCATCTGTAGGAGTGTGTGTGTGTGTGTGTTGTCTGATCTTTGTCCTTCTCCCCTTCAAAGGTTCTTGGGGGGTGAGTGGGAAGGGAGGATGGCTGAGAACTTTAGCCAGCAAAGACACATTAAAAAGAAAAAAAAACAGAAGTGTATTAGTGTAAGTATCTCAGCATATATACACACAGGAGAAAGTCAGGGGATGAATAACCCGATGGAGTGTGGAACTTGGGGAGGCTTTTTGCTTGCTTCGCTTAAAACAAAACAAACAGAGTAGCCTGTGACTCAGTCGGTTAAGTGTCTGACCCATGGTTTCTGCTCAGGAGTCTGGTCTCATGGTTCCATGAGATGAGAGCCTGGTAGATGGAGGCAGACTCTGCACTGGCCAGGCAACAGCTGGAGAGCTACTCCTGGGGATTCTCTCTCTCTCTCTCTCTCTCTCTCCTCTCTCTCTCTCTCCCCTCAGCACTTGCCCGCCTCCTGCGTGTGTCTCTCTCTCCGTCTCTCTCTCTCTCTGAAAATAAAATATACAAATAAAAGAATCTTTGAAAAAACAAAACAAACAGAAACAAAAAAATAATAAAATTTTTTCAGAAAAGTGACAAAAGTAAAGGGCTTTGAGTTTCTAGGCTGGCCAATAACTGTGGGATGATGAAACTATATGGGGAAATGGAAGAATGAGGCTGGGCAGTAAAATTTGTAGGTAGAGTCTCTGGTGCCGGTCTCTGGGTACAGTAAGGATCCAGGGTTGTCCGTAATTTCCTGTATACCTTTATGTCCTGATTTTTAGGCAAATCAGGGGGAGGGAAAGAGTTTTTCCCCTGTTTGAGCTCAAAAATAATCCTTACGCCAAAGTGGCGCGTGGCGGGCGGCGGAGACAGATTCCGCCACCCTTCGCATCCCATTCAAAGGGGAAGGCCTCGCTCACTTAAACCTTCCCCAAGCCCCTAATGCAAGCCTACATCACCTGTATATAATGAGCCATTCCTGACACTGCCCCTCTCACTGAGGCGCCTTGGCCAGACTTCCTTCTCACTTTACATGGCGTGCTTAAGCCTTTCATTACAGGTGTGTTCCTGGTGGTCTTTGGCTGGATAGGCGTTTGACAGTTATTAAGAGGGTCCACCCGATGATGGACCCATATAGGGGAACTCGCGACATGGATACGTTTTATTCTAACAAGCAAAGTCCGTTGAGCCTATAAACGAGAATACAAGTCGCAGAAATACCGCTATTTACAAATAGAACTGCTCAAAAGAGAAACTAGAAAAAAAAGGAAAAAGGTTATTGATCTCATAACTCCCAGAGAGCAAGACAACTTAGTAAAAGGGGTGGGGATGGATATATGTATCTGGCATCTGTGTCGGTGTCTTATTAGCACAATTTTACAACAGATCCATGTTATGGTGGGTGCTCACGGTAGAAATCTTTCAGCCAACGTTGCTGTACGTGCAGAAAAAAATTTTAAAAGAAGGAAAGAAAAAACGCTACCAAGAAAAAACCTCCTGGAGCTATTTGTCTCGTTCTGGGCGCAAGGAAATGAGACTTGGGGCAGCTTTCCCCGCCATACAGGCGCGTTTCCCTTTCAAGGCGAGAGAGAGAGGGAGAGAAAAAAGAAAAAGAAAAAGATGAAAATGAAGGAAGAAACGCGAGCGCGCCGCGCGAGCAGCATGGCAACGGGAGGAAACCAGAGGAAGCGGCGCGCGTGTGTGGGGCGGGACATGCAAATTAAAGTGGCTGTTTTCGCGAGCTATGGGGAGCAAAACAATAAAAAGCATTGAAAGCCCCAGACAAGTTGACGATCTGATAAACTGATCTTGGGAGTTGTGACGATGACACACTGTCAGTCTAAGGAAGAGGAGTAGAGGCAAACCTTCGTTTGGGGTGACTTTTCTCACCGTGACCCAAAAAAGAGGAGTGAAGAGGAGGGTGTCGATGCGCTGGGGAGACGTGGATTTATCTTCTCGGCAGCACAGCTAAGATCCAAGTGTAGTATCTGTTCTTATCAGTTTTAATATCTGATACGACTCTATCCGGACAATATATTAAATAATGGATTTTTGGAGCCAGGAGATGGAACAGGGGCTTGCTCCGTCCACTCCGCACATCGACCTAGTATTACAGTACTTCCAGGAACAGTGCACCTCCCCTTGAGGAGGAAACACTCAGTGATGTCTCAAAAAGTCAGTTTGTCCTGAATCTATCTAGGTACCACTCCTGATTTCTTTGCTTTTTGTACTGCTTGACCCTATTTATCATCTTCTTGCGTCTCTCTTTGCGGTGGATACAGCCCTCCTTCGAAATGCTGGGGGCGCGTCGCTCTGGTTCTAGTTTTAATCCCAGATTGGCCTTGAGGCTATCATGTCAAACTCATCACCTTCTGTCTTCACTGTTCCTGAGTATTCTTTCAGGCTTCCTCCCAAGGTTCTGCTCTTCCGGACTTTCTTGACCTTGCAATGCTTGCTGGGAACTTTCCTTATGGTCCTCCCCCTTATATAACAGGTGGGACTTCAAATTCCTTTGGCGTATAGGGAGGGGGCTTTGAGGGAAATTTAGCAATGTAGAAGGACCCACCTACCGGTTAAAGTGCATCAGCAGCTCAGGGGAATTCGGCAGGTGAATTCTTCCCTCTCCACCCACGCAACGGGTGTGAGCCGCACCCACCAAGAAAGGTAGACAGAGAAGGAGGAAATCTCAAGAGCAGCAGCAGAGATTCATTGCAATTTTCATATCCTCCCTTTATGAATATTCGCTAAGAGAAGTTCATGAGTCAAAACACCACAAAGTTGGAAGGTCAGATAAACTGGAAGTCCTCAAGGTAACAATAAGGTAAATCTCAGAGAGCAAGTTAAACTCAGTGATATATAAAGAAATAAAGCGGTGGGGATTTTACTAAGACATCTCTCTCCCCTCGCTCCCACCCCAGACAAAACCACTCTGAAGAAGAACTTCCAGCACTACACCTGGAAGTGCTGCGAGGAAAAGTAAAACGAGCGGACAGAAGCAGTGGCTACAACCGGAACAGTAAAAAGACCACAGAAACTGATTTTTGAGACACTCGAGTGTGTTTCCTCCCAAGGGGAAATTGCACCGTTCCTAGTACTACTAATGCCTGCGATGCGCGGGTGGACAGGAGCAAGCCCCTAACCTCTCCCGGCTCAAAATCATTGTATATATATGTTATTCTCGGATGAGAGGACTATCCGAGAACTCATATTAAACTGGTAAGAACAGATACTACCTTGATCTTAGCCAAAGGAGGCCGAAGCATTAATACGTCTCCCAGCGCATCGACACCCTCCCTCTCCTCCTCTTTTAGATTTTGTTAGAAAAGTCACCCCTCAAACAGAGGCTCACCCTCTTTCTTAGACTGGACAGTGTGTCATCGTCACAACTCCTAGACATACTCAGTTTATCAGATCAACAACTTGTTCAGGGGCTTTCCCACGCTTTTTTTTATTGTTTTGCTCCCCATAGCTCATGAGAAAGCTTATCATCACTTTTAATTTGCATACCCACACACGCCGTTTCCTGGTTTTCCTGCAGCACTCAGCTCATATCTTTCCTCGCTCTCTCTCCTCAGTACTCTGTCTCTCCCTCTCTCTCTCTCTCTCTCCCTCTCTCTCGCCTTGAAGGAAACATAGCGCCTGTAGCTTGACTTCACCTCAGTCTCATTTCCTTGGAGAAAAGCCCAGAACAGAGACAAATAACTCTGTGAGGGGGTTTTTTTTTTTTTCTTGGCAGCGTTTTTCTTCTTAATTCTTTTCGCGTACAGCAACGTTTGAAGATTTCTACTATTGAGCACCACCACATAACATCTGGATCTATTGTACTGTACATACACATACACCGACACAGATGCAGATACATATATATCCATCCCCTCTACCCTTTTACTAAGTTGTCTTGCTCTTAAGTTATGAGATCAACAGCACTGCTCTTTTTTCTAGTTTCTCTTTTGAGCCACACAGTTCTATTTAAATAGCGGTATTTCATGACTTGTATTCTCGTTTATAGGCCTTCCACTTGAGGGGGGGGGGGGGACTTGCTTGATGATTAGAATAAAACACATTCCATGTCGCAGTTTATATGGGTCCATCGGTGGACCCTCTTAATAACTTTTAATCAACGCCATCAGCCAAGACCACCAGGAACACCTGTAATGAAAAGGGTTGGGTTACATGCTGAAATTAGAAGGAACCAGCAGGCGTAGCCTCAGTGATGAGAGGTGTCAGGAATGGCTCAATGCTATACCACAGGATGTAGGCTTGCATTGAGGGGGCTTAGGGAAGGTTTAAGTGTGAGGCAACTTCCCTTTGAATGGATCTGAGAAGGGTGGTAGACCTCCCCGCCCGCCCAGCCAATATGCCACTTCCAGGCGTAGAGGATTATTTTGAGCTCAAACGGAAAAAACTCTTCCCTCCCGATTTTACTCAAAAATCAGGACATAAAGACATACAGGAGTTGATGCAGGACAGCCCTGGATCCTTACCTCAGCCCAGAGACTGGCACCAGAGACTCTACCTAACAAATTTTACTGCCCAACCTTATCTTCCACTATTTCCTATATAGTTACAGTGAGTTAATGACTAGAAACTCAAGCCACTTTTTTGTCACTTTTCTGAAAATTTATTATTTTTTTTGTTTCTGTTTGTTTGTTTTCAAAGATTCTTGTTATTCTGTATATTTATTTTCAGAGAAGAGAGCAGAGGAGAAAACACACACACACCTACTTGCGGGGTAGACAAAGGAGAGAGAGAGAGAGAGAGAGGAGAGAGAATCCCAGGAGGCTCTGTGTATGCGTGGTCTGAGAGCCGACTCAAACTCGATCTCATAAGACCATGAGACCATGACCTGAGCAGAAACCATGGGTCAGACTTAACAAACTGAGTCACGCATAAAGCCCTGTTTATTTTGTTTTTAGCGGCTATGTAAGCCCAAGTTCCAGCCACCCTTGTATTCATCCCCTGACTTTCTCCTGTGTATATAGTCGTACCTCTAATGCCCCGCTGTTTCTTTTCTCTTTTCTGTCTTTTGCTTCTACAAAAGCCCAGCAGCCATCCTCCCCTTCCCACCACCCCAGAACAGAAGGGAAAGGACAGATTAAGCCCTCAGACAACACACACACACACACACACTCTCCTACCTACAGATGACCTCAGGCAGTGGGGGGTAACTCAGTGATTGGGTAGCTGAGACCATCTTACCTAGAAAGGAAAGAATAGAGAGGGCCAAAAGGAAATACGACTGGGAAAGTAGCAGCAGTTACTCATATTAGCTAGGATAGGGGGTGTTTGGTCCAGTTTTGTTGTTTGGACAATATTCTTCACTTTTTCTTGTCTCTCCAGTGGGGGGGAGGCGACTTCTGAGGAGTGGCTTGTTTCATGATTCCTGCGAGGGTCTGGAGTGACCTTGAAATCCACGATGATGTTGAAAATAAATAAGGAGAGGCGCCTGGGTGGCTCAGTCGTCGTCCGACTTCAGCTCAGGTGTGATCTACCTCCAGTGAGGGGTCCCGAGGCAAGTCAGGCTCTGTGCTTGTGGTGACAGAGCCTGGGGCCTGTTCAGGTGTGTCTCCCTCTCTCTGACCCACTCACTAAGTCCATCTCTATCTAAAAATAAATAAATAAACGTTAAAAAAAAAAAAGGCAACAGAAAAATAAATAAAGGAGGCTCAGCTAAAATGGTGGAAGCACTGGAAAGGGCTCTCGAAGCATGTTCCTCGCGGCCTGCTAACCTTGGCGGGAAGAAGGAGAACCAGAAACATTATTCTGACAAGGGAGACCCTTTCACATAGGAAGCTTAACCTTTAAGAAAAGAGAAGGAAGAGCCCTTGTGCCTTAACCAACAGGCACTAACCCTGCCCAGCTAATGAACTGGGACTTCTCAAACTCCTGTTCTTCTCCGAACCGTGGCTCAAAACAAGCCTCCCCAAAGCTATCCTCCTAAAACATGTAAAGGCTGACCTTCCTTTTTGCCTCTTAGGACTGCTGTCTGGGGTTCACCACCAGCCTGCAGGTCAGTAATTCATGAATTCTCTGCTATTCCTGAATAGCTAGCAAAATCTGGAGTTTTTTTGTATGGTCACAAAATAACTTCAGCTGTTTATTTTTCTAGTTGCATATATTGTGTATTGTGAAACTGTTCACGTTCCTGGGAGACCCCCACAGCCAGCTGTAGTAATCAGAACAACTTCTGCGACGACTGCTTTTCTCTCTGTCTCCAAACCCAGAAGACACGGTAGCGGTCTTAGCAATCTTATTCTCCCTGTAATCTCAAAACAAACAGAAACAATTTGCTATTTCATCATCCTGGGGGTATTTTGCCTGAAGTTATTCCTGATCCCTAGGACGGAGAAATCTAAGGCCCCTATGAAAGGAAAGCTTGAGCCCCTCAAGAGGCGGTGGCGGCAGTGAAACACCTCACCAGAGTGGCACCCACCATCCCTCAGTTTCTCCCTGCCTTGTTACCGTTAAAAAACAGTAACTAATCATCTTTTAGAAAGACACACACAAGCAGATGGGAGACACTATCCTGGCAATTAATTTTGCTTTTTTGTTGAATGTCACGAGAATTTGGAAATTTTCTGCCTTTCCACCACTGTATATGGGCAAAAGAGAAACTGCAACACGATTAGATGAATGATTTAGACTCTGACTGACGAACGGAAGATGAAAGCAAGGACTGGTCTCTAATGAGGAGATTGAAAAGGGATCAGCAACAGAGTGGTGACCGCCCGTCTTCCAAATGACAATATCTAGATGAATTTTCTCGCCGAACTCTGCAGGTCAACAGAATTACAAACAAGCCACGAGGTTAAAACATAAAAAAATAAATGAAAACAAACCTTGGGCCGTTGGGTTTGATGACATTGCAAGTGAAAGGCGGGGGCCTGCGCCGGTAACTCCATCTTGTTCTGTGTCCTTCACCTTGACCACACCTCCTCCCTTGAGTAACCCCCCACCTGCCTAACAGGTTTCGGACCCTTCCCCAGCCAATGCGGCTGAGGCCATACATTACCTCCTGTACTGGGCCCCAACTAAACCACTTTGTCGGCGCTTTTGAAACCGGCTCTCTCTCCTGGTATCTCACACATGCGTCGCTGCAGGTAGAGATTGAGCTTCGAGCTAAGCTTCCGAATAAAAATGCTGTCTTTGCTTTTTTACATGGGACTTCGGCTCTGGTCTTTGGGATACAGTGCTGGGCATAACACAGAAGAACCAAGTAGTGTCACAGGCCGAGGCCTATTGAAGTCTTGTGGAAATACAGAGAAACACCTGTCTACAGGCAGGTAGGACAGCCAATGACAATCCGTTGCATTTGGAGGATGGCAGTTAGGATATTTAGACCTTCAAAGCCTGGAAAGTATGAGTATAAAATGTATGTGAGTTTGTTGTTTAATTAAACTTCGTGTCAATTTTAAATAAAGCAGTTTCCCACAGTGCTTGTTAAAAATTTTTACATTTATTTAACTGATAGAGACAGGGCACACAAGTGGGGAAGGGCAGGAGAGGAGGAAGGAAGGAGAGGAAGGAGAGGGGAGAGAGAGAAGGGGTGGAGAATCTACAGACTGGTGATCAGCTCTGAGCTGTCAGCACAGAGCCCGGCCGGGAACTCACAAACCAGAGATCACTGACCTGAGCCATCAGGCAGCAACCGACTGAGCCACTTGGTGCCCTCCCCCCCCCAATGCTTTATTTTTCCTTCTCCTGAAAAGAGCCTCTTGGAACCTGGGCTAACAAAATGTGTTGAGGTCTATCTAGTTTTCTCCCAGCACACTGAGGAGTTTAGGTGAGCCAGATCGGCCCGGTGCTATGGTTTCATGGCTACAGTCAATTAGCAAGGTAACAAGAACTGTCAGGACCTGAGGGGTATGTGCAAATGAATCAGGTGTGTAGGGAGGCAAGGACATTGGGGATCGGGGTAGGGGTGGGTGGGTGTGAAGGAACAGAAATTGTCAGGTGTCAAAGGGCAGAAGGGCAAAGCGATGGGAGAATGTGATGCTGGGACACAGTTAGAGCAATTGAATGACAAAGGCGGGCCGACGAGGGGGGGGATAGATTTAGCCGCGTGGAGAAACTGAGAGGCCAGGCTGGGGTGTTCGGAAGAATCGCCCATTAGTGACTGTTGAAACTCACCAGGAAGGCCAAGCCAGAATGTCTCAGAGAAGGGGAGACAGCCAGGAGCTAAACCTTCAAAGGCGAAATGAGCTGCAGCTAGCTGGACCTTTACAAGGACTGGCAAGGCACGGCGGGGCGGGGGGGCGGCGCGTGTGCAACATAAAAACTTTGCCGCGGCCGGGCGCGCACTTGGTGGGAGGCAAGAAGCTCTTTGAGAGGCCAAAAGTGGGTAAGACTCCCGGAACTTGAGAAATGGAGGGGTTTGCAGAGAGCTAAGCAATGTCTTCACTATGTGAACAAATTACCTCCGTCCTGAACTATGGAAGATTCAGTGAAGGAATGTTTAAATTATAATAAAAAAAAATAATGTCTCTATATCTTGAACAGGAAACCAGGAACTGGAGGAAGCAAGGATGAGACATGACAGGACAGGCATGGGGTGAACATGTGTGTAATGTATGTATCTATGTGGTGGTGTGTTTTGCCTCAGCTTTTTTTGGCAAAATGAAAAGAAACTACTCTTGAACACTCGGGCATCATGAGCTCAATAATCCCTCCTCATCTTCCAGCTCTTATCTCCTCCAAACCTGCATAATGCTCATTCCTGGCAAAAAATGAGATCTGGTCAAAACATTCCCAATATCCCTCCATCAGAATTGAAGAACAAACGCAGCTCCCTTGAGCCAAGCACCATCTTTTTGAGAAACCCCACTGAAGGAAGGGAGGTGCACCACCGGAAGTACTGCAATACCGGGTCGTGCGCGGAGTGGACGGAGCAAGCCCCTATTCCATCTCCCGGCTCCAAAAATCCACATTTTAATATATTGTCCTCGGATAGAGGACACATTGTCAGATATTAAACTGATAAAGGTGAGAGGAGATGGAATAGGGGCTTGCTCCGTCCACTCCGCGCATCGACCCGGTATTGCAGTACTTCCGGGAACGGTGCACCTCCCTTCCTTTCAGTGGGTTTCTAAAAGCAGTAGATGGTGCTTGGTTTGCGGAGCTGTGTTTGTTTTTCTTTTTTCGTCCTAGCCCCGGCGGATACGGGTGTGTTCTGTTCGTCCGTCGCGCCTTTTTTTTTCCTTTTTTTTTTTTTTTTTTTTTT